AAAAAAAATCAAAAAATCACAAAAAAATCACAAAAAAATCACAAAAAGCACCAAAATTAAAAAATACAAAAATCAGCAAAAATCACAAAAATCACCCCAAAAAAATCACAAAAAAATCACCAAAAAAATTACAAAAAAATCACAAAAATCACAAAAAATAAAAAAATCAAAAAATCACCAAAAATCACAAAAAAATCACAAAAATCACAAAAAATTTAAAAATCAAAAAATCACCAAAAATCACAAAAATCACCCCAAAAAAATCACCAAAAAAAAATCACAAAAAATCACAAAAAATCACCAAAAAAAATCACAAAAAATCACAAAAAAATCACAAAAAATCACAAAAAATCACAAAAAGCACCAAAAATAAAAAAATACAAAAATCACCGAAAATAATTTTTTAAAAAATCAGAAAAAATCACCAAAAAATCCCAAAAACCCCCACAAAAATACGAAAAATTTTAAAAATCACAGAAATCACCAAAAATTAAAAAAAAATCCAAAAATCACCCAAAAAAAACCCCAAACAAAAAATCAAAATTTATTTCATTTATTTTATATTTTATTTTATTTTACTTTATTTTATTTTATTTTACTCTATTTTATTTTATGTTATCTTATTTTATTTTATTTCATTTATTTTATTTTATTTTATTTATTTAATTTATTTTATTTTTTACTTTTTATTTTTTATTTTTTATTTTTTATTTTTTATTTTTTATTTTTTATTTTTTATTTCTTATTTTTTATTTTTTATTTTTTATTTATTTCATTAATTCCCATTAATAATTAATTAATTACCGAGGTTTTTGCGCGGCGTTTCCGCTGCTTTTTCCCGCCGTGCTCTCCGCTATTGTATTTCATTTTATTTTATATTTTATTTAATTTATTTCATTTATTTATTTTATTTTATTTTATTTTATTTTATTTTATTTTATTTTATTTTATTTTATTTTATTTCATTTCATTTCATTTCATTTCATTTCATTTCATTTTTGATTTATTTGATTTGATTTGATTTATTTTATTTTATTTTATTTTATTTTTGATTTTATTTATTTTATTTTATTTTATTTTACATTTTATTTTATTTTTCCATTAATTCCCATTAATAATTAATTAATTAATGAGGTTTTTGCGCGGCGTTTCCGCTCGTTTTTCCCGCCGTGCTCTCCCCTATTGTATTTTAATTTTATTTTATATTTTATTTAATTTATTTCATTTATTTATTTTATTTTATTTTATTTTATTTCATTTCATTTCATTTCATTTCATTTCATTTCATTTTTGATTTATTTTATTTTATTTTATTTCATTTCGTTTTATTTTATTTTTGATTTTATTTATTTTATTTTATTTTACATTTTATTTTATTTTTTCCATTAATTCCCATTAATAATTAATTAATTACCGAGGTTTTTGCGCGGGGTCCCCGCTCTTTTTTCCCGCCGTGCTCTCCGCTATTGTATTGCATTTATTTAATTTAATTTAATTTAATTTAATTTTATTTTATTTTATTTTATTTTATTTTATTTTACTTTATTTTATTTTATTCATTTAATTTATTTTATATTATTGTATTTAATTAAATTAAATTTTATTTTATTTTATTTTATTCATTTTGTTTTATTTTATCTAACTAAATTTTATTTATTTTATATTTTATATTTTATATTTTATCTTTTATCTTTTATTTTTTATCTTTTATATTTTATATTTTATATTTTATATTTTATATTTTATATTTTATATTTTATATTTGATTTTTGATTTTTTATTTCTTATTTCTTATTTCTTATTTTGTATTTTTTATTTTTTATTTTTTATTTTGTATTTTGTATTTTTTATTTCTTTTTTTTTAATTATTTTTCTCATTAATTCCCATTAATAATTAATTAATTAATGAGGTTTTTGCGCGGCGTTTCCGCTCTTTTTTCCCGCCGTGCTCTCCGCTATTGTATTTCATTTATTTCATTAATTTAATTTAATTTAATTTAATTTTGTATTTATTTTATTTTATTTTATTTTATTTTGTTTTGTTTTATTTTATCTAATTAAATTTTATTTATTTTATATTTTTATATTTTATATTTTATATTTTATATTTTATATTTTATTTTTAATTTTTAATTTTTTATTTTTTATTTCTTATTTCTTATTTCTTATTTCTTATTTCTTATTTTTTATTTTTTATTTTTTATTTTTTATTTTTTATTCTTTATTTCTTATTTCTTATTTTTTTATTTTTTATTTCTTATTTCTTATTTCTTATTTTGTATTTTTTATTTTTTTTTTATTTTTTATTTCTTTTTTTTATTATTTTTTTTTTAATTATTTTTCCATTAATTCCCATTAATAATTAATTAATTACCGAGGTTTTTGCGCGGCGTTTCCGCTGATTTTTCCCGCCGTGCTCTCCGCTATTGTATTGCATTTATTTCATTAATTTAATTTAATTTTGTATTTATTTTATTTATTTTATTTTATTTTATTTTATTTTATTTTATTTTGTTTTGTTTTATTTTACCTAATTAAATTTTATTTATTTTAAATTTTTATATTTTATATTTTTTATTTTATATTTTATATTTTATATTTTATATTTTATATTTGATTTTTTATTTTTTATTTTTTATTTTTTATTTTTTATTTCTTATTTCTTATTTCTTATTTCTTATTTCTTATTTTTTATTTTTTATTTCTTATTTCTTATTTCTTATTTTTTATTTCTTATTTTTTATATTTTATATTTTATATTTTATATTTTATATTTGATTTTTTATTTTTTATTTTTTTATTTTTCCATTAATTCCCATTAATAATTAATTAATTAATGAGGTTTTTGCGCGGCGTTTCCGCTGATTTTTCCCGCCGTGCTCTCCGCTATTGACGCCTGGGGCAGCGGAACGGCCGTGACGGTTTCGAGCGGTGAGTGACCCCAAAATTCCCCAAAATCGCCGATTTTCCACCCAAAAATTCCACGTTTTTAGGGCGCAATTTGGGGGGGGATCGGTGGGAAAATCGAGGGTTTTTTTGGTCCNTTTTAATTTTTAAATTTTATCTTTTTTTTCTTTTGACCCAAAATCTTTTTTTTTTTTCCATTTTTCACGTTTTTCTACCCAAAATTCACCGAATTTCCACAATTTTTTATTTTTTTTTCCCAATTTTTTTTTCTCCCCCCCGTTCCAGGTGAAAATTCACAAAAATAAAAAATTCACAAAAAAACGCAAAAAATCACCCCAAAAAAATTTACAAAAATCGCAAAAAAAATTTAAAAAAAATCAGAAAAATCACCAAAAATAAAAAAAATCCAAAAATCACAAAAAATGCAAAAATCGCCCCCAAAAATCACAAAAAAAATCACAAAAAAATCACAAAAAAATCGCAAAAAAATCACAAAAATCACAAAAAATTAAAAAATCAAAAAATCACAAAAAAATCACAAAAAAATCACAAAAATCACCAAAAATAAAAAAATACAAAAATTACCAAAAATACAAAAATCACCCAAAAAACCCCCACTAAAAAATCACAAAAAAATCATTAAAAAATCACAAAAATCACAAAAAATAAAAAATTTAAAAAATCCAAAAAATCACAAAAATCACAAAAATCACCCCAAAAAAATCACCAAAAAAAATCACAAAAAATTCACAAAAAATCACAAAAAATCACAAAAAAATAACAAAAATCACCAAAAATAAAAAATACAAAAATCACCAAAAATACAAAAATCACCCCAAGAAAATCACAAAAAAATCACAAAAAAATCACAAAAAAAATCACAAAAATTCACAAAAAATCACCAAAAAAATCACCAAAAATAAAAATCCCACAAAAATCACCAAAAGTCACAAAACTTTATTTTGTATTTTATATTTTATTTTTATTAATTAATTAATTACCGAGGTTTTTGCGCGGCGTCCCCGCTCGTTTTTCCCGCCGTGCTCTCCGCTATTGTATTGCATTTATTTCATTAATTTAATTTAATTTAACTTAATTTTGTATTTATTTTATTTTATTTTATTTTATTTTATTTTATTTCATTTTATTTTATTTTATTTTGTTTTCTTTTATTTTGCCTAATTAAATTTTATTTATTTTATATTTTTATATTTTATATTTTATATCTTATATTTGATTTTTTATTTTTTATTTATTATTTTTTATTTTTTATTTCTTATATTTGATTTTTTATTTTTTATTTTTAATTTCTTATTTTTTATTTTTTATTTCTTATTTCTTATTTTTTATTTGTTATTTTTTATTTTTTATATTTTATATTTTATATTTTATATTTTATATTTGATTTTTTATATTTGATTTTTTATTTTTTAATTTTTATTTTTTATTTTTTCCATTAATTCCCATTAATAATTAATTAATTACCGAGGTTTTTGCGCGGCGTCCCCGCTCGTTTTTCCCGCCGTGCTCTCCGCTATTGTATTTTATTTATTTAATTTAATTTAATTTAATTTAATTTAATTTAATTTAATTTAATTTAATTTAATTTTATTTTATTTTATTTTATTTTATTTTATTTTATTTTATTATACTTTATTTATTTTGTTTTATTTTATCGAATTAAACTTGA